GGTCGCCACGGTTACCCGTCTCCGCGCTGAAGGGCACGCCCGCCGGAAAGTTCTGGGAAAATTCTGGGCGGCCTGGGTGGCGGTTGGAGAGTTGCAGGTACGGCCTGGCGTAGCAGTGGCTTCGTGTACAGGTGAACGAAATAAGCGGTTTCACGCAAGAAGCGAATCATGGAGCCGGTATGGTGATCAACAGAGCATGTTGTCAATGTGTTGAGTGAATGAGGTTGTTGTTGGTCCAGGAAAGGAATATAGCCATGACTGACTGCTTATACGAACAAATTAGTCTTTTTATCGATTGTCCATATCTTGGCGTTGTTTTTTTTCCTTGTCATTCCCGCGACCTTTTCGAATTTCATACATATGCATACGGTAGGGTTGATGTCCAACATGACGCATGGTACATGTGTATTGACGCACGCGTTTTTCCTCCATGCTGGCGCCGCCAGCTTTCACATTGCCGCCATCGCGCTGGTCGACGGCAATGTCCATCCGCTCATTTTTTGTCCCGAGCATCTGCTTTGTGTTTCTTCCCTGCACACGAAAACATGATCTTCGAGGTATTCAGGAATCTTTAGACAAGCACACACATACGGTGGTCAGATTTTGTTGTCAATGTATGTCTTTGTTTGTACCGTGCTTCGGTTTCTCCGATTTCCCGGATCCTGTCTGTCGTACCACACTATAATCCAACTCGAATACCACTGCTGTGAACTGTTTTTCAGAAGCGGCGGACGGCGTTTCGGGCCAAGGTTATGGCCCGACGACAGCTTTCACTGCAGCGGGAGGCTTTTTTTTCTCTTGTGTCGGGTGAGGTGGCACGGCAAGCTTCACAGCGGTAGCATCTCTCTGCTACTTTTCATATACACGCTCAGGAGAACACGTTGGCGTGCAACTCTCAGATAATTGAGGTAGTTGACGTAGCGCCTGCGAACGGTTTCTGTTTCGGGAATACAGTTGTGTGGTTGATAGAGCGCACGAGGTACCACGCCAAGCTGTCACCTTGTGACGACCATCCCAAGATTTACTCGAGCGTGGTAGGGTGCTATTGCCCAGGATTGACCTTTTTCCGGCTAAACTTGACATGCCCGGCCTAGTGTGATGGACGAGGCTGCATTGTCTGTGGTGTCCAACATCAAATGGGCGGGGCTCTACTGTGCGTGGTGTTCCAACATGAAGCATATTTCCGTTGGTCGCGTGGGAAGTTTTCCATTTTCGCTTAATGCCGTGTTTCCTTTGAGACACGGGCGTCATCTCCCAAGAGCCCAGGAAGCTTTGCATGGAGCAACAGCCTACGTAAATACATATCATGCATTGCACAGAAGAGTGCCTCGCTTGCACAGAATATCGATGTTGCGCACACCGGCCTGCATCCCCGAAATCACCGGAAGACCTGCTTTTTTCGCTCTCGGCGGCGCTTGCGTTTTTTTTCTCCACAGTCGCCGAAGCGGGCCGCAGGCAAAGGGAGAAAGTGAGCGCCGCGCTGCTGCTGTGGAAGTTACACACCCAGGGGAAGGCGTTCGCAGCGCTCGCTACTCACCGGCTGAGAAGGTCTGATCTCGTGTTTTGCCTGAGTCTTTCGGTTGGACACGTCGGTCCGAAATCCACGCTTTTTCGTTGAGGCGTCGTGAGACCCAGTGGTGGTGTTCCCGGGGTGATTAGGATCCCTATAATAGGAGTGTTCTCGAACTGGCGTATGTTTAATCTGTTCGTCGCCTACCTCATTCCGCCTGCCAAACGGCCCGTCGCCGTGTCCATGAGAAGATGATTTCGCGCGGGACCCCGGTTCCGCGCCTACTTGACGGCCGGTGTGGGGGTTGTTCTCACCGTCTTTGCGGGTGCTTCTGACGCTTTGCTGCTTGGTGGACGTCGAAGAACTTCCCCTGATTCCCCTTCCTTGGACGTGGTGATTGTTTATTCCTTCGATATCCCCTTGTGTTGTGTTGTGTTGTGTTCCTGGACAACACTGTAGTAGCGGTAAGTCGTTTCGAACAGGCATGCGCCTAACCGAAGTCGAAACTGTCAGACTCATCTGCCCTTGCTGCTTTTCGCGATATGCCCCGCAAGAGTGAGGTTGCAGGGCTGCGGTCTACTCACCGATTCGTATGTACATTCCGTCACATTTAAAAACACCCAAACAGCACCCCTGAAAGGTGGTTTGTAGGTCGTATTGGAGTTCTTCCGAGAACAGAGACCCCATGCCGCATCCTCCACCAACACTTGGCCTTCACGGTGTTGCGCATCTACGGAGATGCGCCTCGTTAGAAAGACGTGTTGGCGCTATCCCCGTCGTACCCGAGCTATGCTGTTGGGGATCTTGGAGAAAACTGTCAAAAAAATGTGTCTAGGCATGAGCTGAACCGTATGATGCGTACTTCTGAAGTATATATTTTGCAATCTCTCTGAACCCCGCGCCCTCACCTCCCCCCTCCCGGCCGCTGCCGACTGCGCTGTTCAGGCGCTGGAAACAAGACAGGGCTCGGCGCGCGGTGGGGTGGAGACGAGAGCGCCTCATCAAAGACGGAGCCCTCAGGTATTCGTTCTTTGCCGTGTCGCGGTTGCTTTGATCGTTCGTCGATTTCGGGGTGCTAGTAACCCTAACGTTGTCAACCAAAGGATGGGATTCCAGCTGTGAGCGATTCGCATACCGTCGATAGTGCGACCCCCAAGAGGAGTGTTCTTCGGCTTAGGACTGCGGGACTGTGGGGGCATGCGGATAATCGCGAGGCGATATCACAGGTACCAGCAAATAGGGTGGATAAGCATATCGAACTTGTCGTCGCGCCATCGATGGTGTGCACAAGCAGCCACGGTGCTGTTCGCATGTCCGTGGCCCCCTCGAGCCGTCCCACCAGAGGATAGCATTACAGTACTGCCCGTCAAAACGTTCAGTGGTTGCCCTTGGCAGCTGTCAATGCTGTATTCAATACCACCACCCTCGCGGATGTGGATGTAGCAGCTGTCTACGCGGGTCCACCATGTGTGCAACGGTATTTCTTGTCGCATGGATCAGGGCCGTCCGTTGGCACGCTTCGGCGCTCAGAATAGTTCCTGCCGGCAGACATCGTGCTCGCTGCTCGCCGGTGGACTCGTGGTTATCATCGACAACAAGCACACATTTCGAGCAAAATAAGCTCGCAGTCGGCCCACGCAACTAGCGTCGTGTGACGCCTTGTTTCCTTCGCGAGATTGATCTCAACACCTTTGAGAGTAGTATTGTAAAAAAAAAACATCGCCGCCACGACCATGTTTTCACACATGCAAGACACACGTTTCTGTCCTCCAATCCGGACAGCAGCTTAGTTTCCCCGCGCGGGGTCACAGATCATGGTCTTTCGACGCATTTTCTGTTGTCAGCCGCGACTTCTCTTCGTTAGTCACCCGGTTAGCGAGGTCAATGCTAGTATCCAAAAGCACACGCGTACACACACATGCGCCTTGTTTCGTCTTTCCGTTAGCCGATGATATCAACGTATCAAGAGACTCGTTTACATGTGTACCTTTTTCCCGTCTTTCCGCTTGTCGATGCTATCTTAGCATGAATGACACATTCACCGGTGTACCTTTTGCTCGTCTTTCCGATCGTCGGTGGTATGATAGTATGAAGAGACACATTCATATGTGTACCGTTTTTCCGTCTTTCCGCTCGTCGATGCTATCACAGTATTTGAAGACACGTTCACGTGTGTGCCTTTTCCCCGTCTCTTTCGCCCTTCTTCTAGGTGGGCCGCTACCGCCGATGCCCTCTCCGCGAGCCGGATATCCTCGGCCGCCTTCCGGGAAGGGAACAGGGCCGCTCGTCGCTGGGAAGCGGCCGGCCGGTGCGCGCGGCACTGGCGGCGCGTCGCCGCCGCCCGCGGGATGGAGCGACGAGCCCGGGATCAGCTTCCTCGAACGAGCGTTGCTCCGATGCCCGGGTTTCCTGGAGATGTTCGAGGCGATGTCGCCAGGGGGTGCGTCGGGGTTAGGGATGGTGAAGGTATCGCCGGGTCGGGAGGACTTCGGTTCCCGCGTGGGGGAGGCGGTAGCCGAGCGCGTCGGCCGGGCGTAGCCACTGCCACAGGTAAGACGAGCGGCAGCGGCAGCAGGGCAGGAGGTTCCGGGAAGGAGAACGTTGACGAGCACGGTAGCTCACGGGGCACCGCGGCCGCCGCCCCTGACCCGGCCAGGGGGGCGTTTCCCTTCTCCACGAACCAGAGAAATGGGGCCGTCGCTCAGGCGGCCGGAACCGTCAATACTATCACCGCAGAAAATCAGCCAGGACCAGCGTACAGAAGCGGCAACGGCGGCTCTCCGGCGACCCAGACGTTCTCGGCCGGCGCCGCCTCGTGGCTACCCGCGCGTGCTGGCCCCTCGTACGGGCGATGGGCGTCAGCGTCCGCGCCGGCCCGTCGACATTCAGGTAGGACAAGTAGTCTACGAATTGCGGCGGGAGTCGGGGTCGACGAGGAGAACGTGCGTTTTTGCAGCAGAGAGCCGGGGGAAGAGGGAAGAGTGGCGGCGCCGGGGGAAGAGGGAAGGGTGGCGGCGCCGGGGAAAGGGTTTACTGCCGAGTCTGGCGGGCCAGCGCCAGAGGAGAAAGGAAGGTCGTCGCCCTTGTCGGTTCGAAGATCGTTCGGAAATGGCGAAGAGGCGGAAGAGGGAAACGAGCACCGCCCGTCGTCGCCACCGATGACCGTGGGGAACGTCACTCAGGCGGCGTGTCTTCTCCCCGCCGCCGCCTCAGAGCCCCCATGGGGTAGAACACAGCCGGGTAGTGGTGTCGACGCTGACGTTGATGGAGGTAGTCCAGGTGGCGGTGGGGATTTTGGTGGGGGGGG